TCCGTATTTTACAGCCTTTCATTTCCCATCACACAGAGAAAAAACACTCATGTAATTCTCCAACTTTTTAATAGCAACTGCTATGATTGGCTTTTCTTGGCAGTTGGCATAGGTAATAGGTAATCTTGCTTGCTCTTACCCATTCAAATGAAGCAACAAAGATCATTCTCCTAGTTTGACAAACAGACTTCTGCATGCATTTATTTTTCACTTGTCCTCTGACTGTATATTCTCCATCTCATTAAACCACTCGTCTTCATTATGAAGGCTCCTCCAAGCCCACTTCAATGCTACTTTTCATTTCTTGTTGAGTACCAAGTGGCATCTGCTTCCACTTGGTGAATAATGCCAGTTTGAAAATTAAAGATGTAGAATTCAAAGTGCCTTCCCTCTCTCTCAGGCAGCCCTCTAACGTGTTTGGAAGGTGTCATCCTCAGACATCTGCAAAACAACTGCGTTGGTCTCCTTCCCACTCTCTCTGTTGCACTGCCTCCTCAGAGCATGCCCGTGGTTCCAGGATTTGTTTACTGCTCCTCCGGCTGGAGGGACTATGATCTTCTGAGTTCTTTTTGTTCCCTTATCTTCCTGCAGCTATTCTATTGTCTTTTGTGACTCCTATTCACCTTGTAAGGTGGTGAAAAGTTGTCTTCCTTGGGTGTTTACACAGCACACACAGATCAGTGAGGCCTTTGAACATGCCAAGGGCATCTGGGAGCTACAGTAATGCAAATTATAGTAATAATAAATGTACAGTAGTACATACCTGTTATCAGTAATGTTTATCTTAGAATAGCAACATGAGGTGAAATACATTCATATCAGAGATCAAATGCCTAGTATTTTGGTGCTTTGCCTTGCAGCAATGTTTTACTTTAAAGTGTCATGTTTCTACAAGAAATATTTATGGAAAATGCCTTTTAAAAAACTCCAGTTGTTTGAGGTACTATCTCATAGCCATCAGATAGAAAAGACAGCAGATAAAATTTATTTAAATGACTAATATGCCATTTCTTGAACAGAAGATGAGAGAGCTTGCTTTGTATTGAGAAGAACATAGTCCCAAGTCTGAGACAGACGCTGGTAACTGAGCCTCCCAGTGCAGGTCTCAAAGCTAAAGGGTCACATTTGCAAGATGGAAAGCAGTTTATGTTACCGTAAATAATTGAAGAACTTGAACTTGCCTCAAGGTAGCTATTTTCCTATGCAGTCTACAAGTAAACACTCATAAATACTAAACTTCTTATCAGCCCTCCAGTTGTTAAACACAAGGCACTGATCTGTCTCACAAGCTGCAGGGCTTCTTTAATAACTGCTTGACATCTACAACAGCAACACAAGTTCTGACTAGCTACCCATTCAAAGCAATCACTGATTGTAATATGACATTGTAAGGAAGAAATTGGACCTGCCCAACTATCCTTCCCTTCATTTTTAAATTATAATCTACATGATTAAGATCAGTTCACTAGACTTGTAGCTGCACCTGGAGGAAAGGAATTCAGTCACATGTGTAAGTAAATTCTCTGGAGATCACTACAGGGAAATGAAAGGAATCGCAGCTTTGGAAGGATGTAAGTGAGCATAGATTGGAGGCTTTGGTACTGATTAAATGTGTACCAGAAATCAGCAAAGCTCAGGGCAATTGTCAAAGCCATAAAATTATTGGAAGGTATGTCTTGAAACAAAATAAAAAACTGTCATCTCTTTCCTAAATGTAGTAGTTTAAAAACTAACTAATCAAAGACAAAGTGTAGAGTCCGAATAAAACAAAAGTATTCTTGTAAGGCTTTTCATCTAAATTATTTCTGTGTAAGCTTTCATCAAAATTTTTGCTAATTTGTTTCTAAAGAAATACTTTTTCCATTTAAAAACTGTCTTTATTATAGATAGAGGAAGAATTTATCTACTACTGAATTCTTAGCTTTTGTAGATTTTTTCAGCTTTGTGAACCAGCTGATAATTAAAATTTCCTCATTACAGTTAGAAGACCGCTTTTCTTTTGATATTCTTGCTTCTTAGAATAGTAAAAATTTATGTGGGCTGAGTGCACAATAAAATATGTAAATATTAACTAAATCCTTTTTGAGTACTCTGCAAATGTTGAAGTTCTATTGTCTTCAAAGTGTTTTCACTCTATGGCAGGATCTTGAAAGAAACTTAACACTATCTAATTTTTATGGGTGTGGAGTTCTAGTGAAAGAATGATACTTCCCATGGGAAAGAGAATCAAAGTAGGCTTTTGTTTGTTTGTGTGTGTCTTAGTTTTGGCATTTACATTTTTCTTATAGATCGACTGCAGACCTATTATATTTGTCTGTTACCTGAAACTTTCAGGCAACACAGTAAATAAAACTTCTTTCATATGTTGTCATTGCTGATTCTTTAATTCCAGGAATATTCAAGACCGATCTTTCCTTAAAGTTTACAACAAAGACCCTGCACATGCATTTAATCACACTTCCAGAGCTGTAAATGGAGATATAAGGGTAAGTACTAATGATGCATTTTTACTCTTTTTTCCCTCCAGTTTTTCTGCTAAATGTTCAAACTCTGAAATGTAGTATGTACATAGCAATTCAGAAAATCCGGGCTATACGTATGGCACATACACAGAAAAAGGAATAAATAATGTTTGTTGTAATGTGTTTTAACTGCTTTTCTTGTTCCAATTATTTGCCCTGGGCATTAACTGTTTTTTTGATTTTGTTTAAATGCACTAAAGCATGTGAAGCAAAACATAGCCTTTAATTATGTATTTTGTGACAAAGACAGTCCTCAGAGTTTTTACAGCTTCCTATTCTGTGTTTGCAAACCCTTTACAGTGAAGTATGGTGTAGAGTTAGTACACTCTAGCAAAGCTTCAGCAGGAATTGGTTTCCAGGGACTGAGCAACTGTACCTCACTTCAAGTCTACTGAAACTCTTTGTAAATGATGGTTTTGGATAGGAAATTCTGATAAAAACTCGTTGTGGTGTAAATAGTTTTGTCTTTTCTTAAATTTTCTACCTGCACTGAAAAAGGATGAGCATATTTGTATTTTCAGGTGAATGTTTTGTATTAGGAAGCCACAGAGAATGCACTTGAAACATTTGATTTTTCTCTCTCACTGTATTTCTTTTGCTGCACTGCTACCTCCCACCTTGGTGCCAAGAGGGCAGGAGATGCAGCTGTGGGACAACTTCCACCATGTTACCTGCACTGGTGTTGCAGTGGTGGGGCGGGGGGTGGTGGTGAGATTACACAACCTCATCTCCTCCCCACCCATCCTAGGTCTGTCCACAGGAAACAGTACAAATAAATTAAACCCATGGGGCCAGAAGAGAATGCCACTACTGTCCTACCTGCTTTGTGGCTTTTACGTGAGCTCCAAAGCTGATTCAACTGTGCAGAAAATTTCCTGTGATTTCCTTAACTGTGTGTTTGCTACTTGTTTTCATTATCAATTCTGAGCATGTCTCTCTGCTTTATTACTAATCTTTTGTGTAAGTACTTCTTGTGTTTCAACAGTTTAAGGCCACAATATTTTAGAAAGATTGAAATAATTTATTTACAGGCACTGTTCTCAACTGCCTCTCATTTATGCACTTCAATTATAAAATGGTCCTTTGGATAGGTCAGAAATCTTAATTACTTGATTTTTCACACTGCTGCAAACACAACATGAGAAAAGAAATGGCTATGCTTCAAAGGAAAGATGTGGTAGCTTTTTGTGCATTCTGTAACATCCTGAAATTCTTCAGTTCTAGTTATATTCCTGTGGCAGTAACTGGATGTATCTGATACATCTCATTCATATTCAATGGCATGACATGGTGTCACTGTGCATTATGACATTAATGCTTGTAACTGTGGCTTTATAAAGTTATGTTATAATGCTCTTGTTCCATGTACAGTGGCTTTATTTGTGTATTTTAGGCCTATTTGAAGGTGCTATTGTAGTTAACTATATATATTAAAAAGTAAAAATTACTTATTTGGCCCTCTTCCAGGCATTTGCTGCCTAGACGAGTTGTTTTGAACACAGGTGCTGCCTCTGTGCAAAAACTGCAATTATTTGAATTGCTTATTTTAAAATCCTATGTTGTACAACAGATATGCACACTTAACATCTCCTGATTATATCTGAGTTAGCACCTTTTGGCCATAACTATAAAACAATGGTGACACAGTGATAACCTTTGCAGAGGTGGTGTTTTCGTGGCAGAATATTGTTTTTTACTTTACAGAAAATGCAAAGATGTTGTTGTGAAATTCTGTGCATCCAGCAAGAGCTATTTTCTCATTTGGCTTTTGCTTTGCATTGGCAGATTTCTTGTCTTTCTGGTCTGAGAGGTGAAGTCAGAGCCAGGATGTTCATAGGGGATTTGTGGAGAAACGTGCAAAAAGTCTTCCCTTTGATCTATGTGAACTCCTGCACTTCAAAGTTATGAGCATGGAAACAAATGATTTCTTCAGCTCAGAAATACTGAAACCTGTTTTTCTAAGGTTGTGTGTCTTTTGAGTGGTTGAGTTATTTCTTATGCAGCAACATTTAGGTACTAACTGAGGCTCTTCCCAAAGTAATGACACTCTCCAGTGCTCATCCTCTGGATTCTAAAAAGCTGGAGCCCACACTGCAGCTGTTTCTCTGTTTGGCAGAAGTACAGTAGGATCTTCTGTCAAATCACTAATTTGGCAAAATTTATAGGGGCATAGTAGTCTTTCTACTCATTGGTTAAATCTGGTTGAAATTTGCCTGGGGATTTACAGGTTGTTAGCTCAGCAGAAAAAAAAAACCAATAGCCAGATGGATTATTTATCCCTCTTTCCTTAGCAAACCAGAGTAAAGGAGGGGGTAATGTGAGGGTTCTAAGTGAAAAACATGTACATTTTATGTACTGCTATTGAAGAGTATGCATAAGATTGTAGAAAAACTTTTGCTTCTTGTCTCTCTTTTTATGTTTGCATGTCTTTGCATTAGGCTAATTGATGGTCATCAATTTCATATGATATATGAGTGCTAAATTCACTACAGTGGGAAGGAGGGAGTGTGTGCTTGGCATCATGTTTAACTGTTTCAAAATGCCTACAGAAAAGCAGCTGATTGTCAGACCATTGAAAAACAGTATGTAGAATATAATGAATTAGTCATTGTAAGTATATTTTTCCATGGTGATACTCTGAGTCTGGTTGTATCTCCTGTCATCTGTGAGTTAAACCTTTGTGGTTTTTTTGATGATTGGGAAAGTTTTGCCTTTACAGATTTTTCTGCTGTTTGTCTTCTTGTCCCTTTGGAATGTTTATCCCTGGATTTGATGACATTCAGACTTCTATTCACGTGTTTTATAATAATTTCCATGTAACTGGCCCAAAATAATCTAAGAAAATAGTGTTAGCTGCCAGCTTGACCACCTGTTTTAACTACCAAACAGATGTTAGACCTGTATAAGAATTGGCAGTAACACTTAAAGTATTAAGTATTACCCATATGGACAAGAAGACTCAAAAGAAGAATGTGGGATCTGTAACTTTCAGATCTTCTATTGAACCATTCAGTTTTTGTGTCCATTAATTCTGATTTTCCTGCTCTTCTTTGTTTCATGCTTTTTTCTGAGTGGGTTGTGTTTGAGAAAAGGGAATTGCCGGAGGGTCCAAGCAAGCTCTAAAGGAAAGGTTTTCTTGAAATCCTTCTGAGTGCCTCTCTTGCTTACTGGTCTTGGCCCTTTCCATCTCAAAGAGCATGGTCTGTTTGACAGGTCTGCCATGTTGAATGCTGCTAAGCAAGAAGCAGCCACATAGTGCTGTCTCACTGAATATTTGTGCTTGTGCTCTTCCTTTTTTATTTTTCCTTTCCCAAAATGTACTCTGATAATCTGCAAAAGCTGGGGTTTTTTTTTAATATATCTTCACATTGCTGCCTTTCATTCATTTATTCTTTCACCTGAGCTTGTATCATTTCCAGCACTTCGTAGCTGTCTGTGCAACAGTACTTTCTTCTGACAAAACACTTCCTTACATCTTACGAACAAATGTTTAGATGGTCTATTTTTCTGCCTGGCATTGTTCTGAATTCCAGTGTAAATGCGTGTACCCAGCCATGCTGCTCTGTGCCCGTAGAATTGCCATTTGTGATTTGCATGGGTTGGCAGGGGAAGGGCCCAGGCTGGCACTCACTCAGCCATGGTGCATAGGCTGAATGCCAGGAGATGGCTGTAAGACACTGCCTGTGGGGTTTTATGTGGTGCTGAGTGAACGGACACAGCTCCTTCCATCCTGGGCTGTTGAGCTGAAGAGATTCCCCCACTTATTGTGCACAGTATATTTTCTGTCCTCGTTCTCTACATCCTCCTTTCCTGGAGTGGCTAAAGGCTAAAGAAACTGAAGTTACAATCTCCCCCTCTGTTATAGAAACTAGTCAGTGTTTCTGGTGGCACAGCTGGATACTAATAATGTTGGCTTATGCAGTGGTTTGTTTTGGGCTTCACCTACCAGCCAATTTCGAGAACTGTGAAGGAGTTTTACTTCATAAAAACTTGTGGCTACTTTGCTTGGCTGTCTTCTTCCTCCCATCCACCTGCCGTAAAGTCTGTGAGGTACACTTATTTTGAAGTGTCCTAAACCTACCATGGTTTTACTTAATTGTCTGACTTGCATAAGATCTCTGCTGGGTGAGGTCAGAATATCCAAAGAATACTTGTTGTGGCTGTTGTTGTATTGAGGTATGCTTTGAGGTGTTTTGGATTTTTTTTTTTTTTAGACTGCTTCTCCAAGAAAGAATAAATAGGGCAGGTTGAGTCAGAGCTGGGTTGGAGCAGTGCAGAGTACCTGGAAATTCAACATTTTGTGGGAGTTAGAGTGGCAAAAAGATGATAATGTTCCTGACAGCAATGGGGGTTTTGGCTGCCACGGTGAGAGGAGAGGCATTAAATTGAGTTGTATAGGAAAATGAGACAGACATTTGTTAAGTTGTGTAAACTTGTGCTAAATAGCTTTTATTATTGAAATTGCACACCTTTTCATTTTTTTCATTTTTCCCCTGAAAGTGATTGGTTAGTGGGCTGCCAGCATTTTAACTCTGTAGAGCTAGATGCAATGTGTGAACTTAAAAATACCCTACAAGTACTAGAAACCTTCAAACAACTGCCCAAGAATTTAAGGCTTCCAAGGAGGCTAAAATTCAGTGCTGCTTTGCAGAAAAGATAGAGAAATAATAAAAGCAGAACAATTATTCTGTGTTCTTAAGGTACCTGTAAACATACATCCAGCATCTTTAACTTCTCTTCATTGGATAGCTTATGATCTTAACATCAATAAGCATAAAAGTTGCAAATACTGCCACAGTTATATCTTTGCATTGCATACTACTGCTGAAAAAAAAAAAAAAAAAAAAAAAAGAGCTCTTTGCATTATATAGAGGTATTTAGAACACAAGTACTTATTGGAAAATAATTCAAGCAATAAATTGGGTGTATGCATTTTAGTGCTAGGATGCCTATAGGGCAGCATTTATATAAGTTGCCTTGTGTTTACCTTACTGATCCTATTACTATAAAACTTTGTTTCCTTTTGGGAAAAAAGGAAAAAAAAAAAGAAAAAAAAATGAAAAGGCAATTGCTAATACCTCTATTATCTGATAGAGACCTTCCAAATGATACAAATCTCATCCCTCCTGCTGTTTTGCTGTCTGCTTTTTCTAATGCTCTTTTTGTCATTGAGAGGTTATGACAACATAAGCCATATTGTATTTATAAACATCACGTGTTTCCTTGATATGACTTGTGGTGTCTGCCAAACAGAACACATGGAAGAAACATTTCTCATTAGCTCAGCATTGGTTTTGGTTATGCTGATTTCCGGGACAGGAAAAATGCCTTCCTTACTCAGATTTAACTTTCATACAGTGAAAAGAAAGCCTCTGAGTGTCCCTGAAATCTCTTGAGCAGAGACGCTGCAGCTTTTTTAGGCCACATACTTTGTCTGACAACAAGAGAAAATGCAGTTTATTTTAAAGAGCAAATGTAATGGCACGTATTGCTGAAACTAAGTCTGAATTAAAATACCTGCCAAAGTCATCTAGAAACAGAACTCACCAAGAGATGTAAGGTAAGATGATGCTTATAAATTATGAAGGATATATAATTCCTTTTTTCTTTTTTTATTTTCCAAACTAAAATATATTTTCAGATTAACTGGGAATTTCAGTCAGAATAATGAAAACAGTTTCTTCTTCCTTCAGCTGTGTGAGAAAATAAATATTTAATTGCTCTTTAAACCACCAACCTCTACTCTTAGATATTATGTCTGTTTTCAAACTTACATATTGGACATGAACAGTTATCTTCCTACTTGCTGTTACAAATCTTGCTGACATCTGAACAAAATTTATAAAAGAAGTCTCTGATGTTCTGGATTTTCTTTTTACTGATATGGATGTTAGTACTTTTGCTTTGAGTGGGTTTTCAGTAGTTACCAATTATTTATGCAATTACAGACCTGAAGATACTGAGGAGTACCTGGATCAAATCAGTCTGTGATGAAAGACTGTAAATGTACCTGCTCTCTTTCATTCATGTGTCCTTTGATACACAATACCTACTGCTGTGCAATGCCTAAATTAGTGAGAAAAAGGATAGAATTATAAGGAAAAAAAAAAATTATTTTAGCTACAAACAAAACACTATATTAATCTCAAATGTTTTCTAGCCCAAAACTGTTTTGTTTGAAGATAGAGATCCTGTGTAACAGTTGGATGAATACTGCACTGTGGCTTTTTTAATGTGATGGTTTTATGCTTTGGTGTATTTTATTTATTTCACAAACATTAGGAATAGTATTATATGTATGTCTAGGGAGTGTATGTGTGCGTTAGGAATATAACCTTGTAGATAATATTACTATACGAACATTTTAAAAGATACTTTTTAGGGTTTCTTTAATTTTCAAATAATGAGGATGGATTTTAAGTTTATATGAAACTGCCGTTGAAAGAAAGTGTCATATTCTTGATATAAAACCGCTCAAGGAACATGAGTTTGCCACACCCATGCAATAATCTCCCAGTTAGTCTGAGAGGAGTGTCATATGGTAGATATCACAAACCAGTTACCTGGAAACCTGTAGAGAGTGAATTTTTATGGGGAGGGTTCTTTATTTCCCACTAACAGGCCTGTATTCAAGCTGATCTGCCTTTCATGTTGAGGTTTGCTGAGAGCTTGCCCTGCAGCTGATGAAGTTACCCACAGACAACATATTATCTCTTTTGGGTGAAGGACTTTCCAGCCCTTCATTAAAACTACAAATTTTATCTCTCGTACATCTGAGGTTCTCAGGCAAAGATTTTGCTGCCTTCAGTGAGAGCTTGCCCTGAATAAAAACATAAGGATTGGATTTGAGTCCATTTTTTACTGTCTTCTAGTTTCTGGTTTTATTCTTACTCCACCTCTTTTTACATAATGTTTCCTTCTGCCAATTCTTTAGAAGTTTTGCTCTTTTTTTTTCCCCTGCTTTCCTTGCTTTTAGTAGAACAGTTTGCACTAATTTGACTGCTTGCTTGAAATTCCTAAATACTTGACAGAGTCAGATGTTGCCGGAGCTCCCTGGACACATTGATAGATGATAAAAATGTTCATGGCTGTAACCTCCCTTATGAGGAGGGGAGGTCCTTCTTTACCTCCTTTGTAAATCAGGTAGATTATCTGAATTGCAGGAATTATGCAAGTCAAAGTCCAGTCAAGTTTTATGACTTCCAAGTAGCTTTCCAAATGAGCTTTTACTTGACCAGGGGTTAAAAATCACTTTTTGAAGGTGGGCATTTTGCTACTACAGTTCCCAGAATCAAAGGGCATTTTGCTACCACAATTCCCAAAATCAAAGTGAAGTTAGCAACAATATTTCTTCTTCAAAAAAGTCATTCTTCTTTTCATGTGGGACCTTAGATTTTCCAGTAAGTTTTTCACAAATCCAGAATGTGTTAGTTCATAATTGTGTCCCAGATTCTCTGCTTTCCACTGAGTTTTTACTTCAGTATATTATTAGTCATTAGCCTTATGAATACTAAAGAGAATTAATTATGTCCCTATCTTCCTTTTAACAAATAGGAATAAACCATTACCTGGTATTTAAGAGAACACAGTTATACATCTGAGGATCTTGATTCTTCTCCATGTTGGATTGTACTTTTTTCTAATAAGGGCTCTGGAAAACTAATCACTCTTCTGAAAATATGAGCAGTAAAAATATCTTTCCTTGGATACAGGTTAAGATCTGGGGTTAAAAAAAGCCTTCGCTGGCAAAAGCAAGAAAGTTGCAAATGTCAGCACGCAATAGGAGTCCATGAGAAATGATGTGATGCTGAAATTATTTTTTGTCTGAATATATGTCTTTCTTACATCATTGCAAATTTGAACTCCATGTGACTAAGTGAAAAGACTGAGTGGGTGTGTTGGGTAAAGGCCTAGTCTGTATCACTTAATATTTGCTATAGATAGCTTGACCTTTGGGTAAACTAGATTGTTTACTTCAGCCATGCTGACCAATTTGGATATATTTGGGATAGAAGGAAGTAAAAGGAAAAGAAAATGTAGGATTCAAACAGTGTAGGAAGAAGTTTGTGGTCTAAGACTCTTAGTTGATGCACTGATAGCATTCTGTCATTTCAAGACATAAAACTACAATGCTGTTTGACCTTATGGCTGTGAGCTGAGGTGTGGCTTAGATACTTGCATTGCAAAATCCAGTTGAATGTAAGATTTTTTGTTACCATTTCTCTTGCCAATAGTGCTGACTCCAAAACTCAGCACAGCAACTTATTTTTTCTGATTTTCTATATCCTTATATTGGAAGAAACAGATGTAAACATGCTGCCTGTGTCTTTTGACTATTAGCTCGGTTTTATAATATTTCTATATTATTTACATTTTAACCCATTTTGTAAATCTGTAATAGGAATTGTATTTTGACTCAGTTATTTGGTAATGTAAGTGAGATCTAGGGTTACACTTTCTTTATGTTCATTTCACTTTATCAAGTTGTTCGGTCTCAGTTGTCTTCAATGCAATGAGAAGAGATACAAATATGGAACAAAAGTAAGAGCTGAATTAGTACAGGGAGTCAGAAAGCCATGCATTTATTTAGATTTATGAGTGCAGTTACTAAAAGTATTTTTGTTTTAAATAGCAGAAATCTGATATACTGCATATTTAAACCAAATAAAAATGCTGATCTCCACCAGAACTGTACATCTTTGAAACTATTCCTTTTTTGGAAAAAAAAAGAGATGACCCCATCAGTTCTGTGGTGCCCTAAGGAAATGCTGAAATAGGGATTGGTCTGAAGGGTTTGGCTCCCTGCATTAGTGGTGATTGTCTATGTTATGTACATGGTGTCCCTCATCTCTTCAAAGCAAATGGGGAGGGAGGAGGAAATGCTTTCTGCATTTTCATGAATTACATGGCTCTGTTTGTTCTCAGAAAATTCTACCATAAAAAGCATCAGTGGAAAATCAGAAGAAAGGAGCAGTTGGTTTGAAAGCAAAGGCAACAACTGGTTTGAATGCAGCACTAGTTATGAGGGTTGTCATAATGTTAACTTTAGAAAAATAGATCAGTAACAGCTTTTACACATTCAGTCCAAACAATCTGAATAGCTTATGGGATGGGTGGGCCATGCTATACTGATGAGATAAATGTGGATATTGGCAAACCAATGATGTAATTATGTAAATCCGACCTTTTTAGGATTGAAATGTGTTATGTTTTAGTGTGTTTATATTTTTGTCATTTGTGATAACACCCTGAAAAATCTTGGCTGGAATGCCAAGAGGTTTCTTAGTGCATTCACCATTCTGTCTGCGTAGCACATGAAGGAAGCATAGGGAAATAAAGCATGAGAAATTTATTAACTTTTCTCTGCTTAATTGGATAATCTAAACATTTTTTTTAACTCTCACATTTCATTTGTTCATAGGAAATTAAATACATAAATAGGCAGAAATGAGTGCCTGTTAAGTGATCTGGGAGTTTGTCTTGCCAATCAGGAGTAAAGCAGTACAGACTGGTAGAAGGGAGATAGCTCAAGTGATGAAATGCTGCTGGGGAAATAAACTTCCACACAGAGGAACTGTGATTTCAGACAGACCAATGCAAAATGTGCTGCATCTCATCCATCTTTTAGTTCACTTTGCCTAAAGTGTGGCTAGACTGGAAGCTCTCATGGGATGGCTCTGGGTCAGGCTCCAAGTGGTCTTATACTCCATTCCCTTCCAAGCAGAGTTCAGCCAGTGTATTGTCAAGGTTTTCTCACTGACACTTAATCTGTGACAGCAGGTTCAGTACAGGTACAACCAGGCTAGTCCAAATACAGAGCCCATTCCTTGAGCTGTATTTAAGATGAGGCTTGTTGTAAGCTCACCATTTTATGGGAAGAAGAGTGATACTGTTTTCCTCTTATTTGTTTGCTTCGTGTTTTACACCTGAGAAAGAGGTGACCTCAGTTTAGGAATGGGAAGGGCCATTGAACATTATGATGGCCAAAGGGCTCTTGATGTGCAGGTGTTCTTGGGGTCATAAGTCTGTGTGGTCAGGGGATTCATAACACAATGGAATTGCTAAAGGAAAAAGTTTTCTGAGAAGTAAGGGCTGCATGCACATGTGCATGCATGTCCCACCACTTGTCAGAGCTTGGTGATGGTTGAATCAAACCAGAACTTCTGTTGTCCCCCACTAACAAGCGGACACGTGCAGAGGGCAGCAGCCAGCTCAGCATGCAGTCCCGCTGCATGGGCTGTCTCAGAGATGCTGCATTAAGGCCTCACAAGCTGTTATTTCTTGCACTGTCTGAGGGAGATGAAGCTGTTTGGAACCTTAACTACATCTTCAGTCGTAATGGCTGAATTAAGTTCTGGGTTTCAAAAGCCATTTGTAGCTTTAAAGTGCATCTCAGATATCTTTGTTTTGAATATGAGAGTGGATTGCAAAGGCCAGTTGATGGTGTTGCCTTCTTTGCCCATGTCCTCAAGCATTTGTGGGTCACTCCGGCTGGCATTTACCTGCAGTGCTCTGCTCACTTCTTTTCTAAAAACTACCCTCATGTTCTGACCACATCTG